TATATATATATATATATATATATATATATACATATTTATGTATATACATATGAATGGATATATCTCATCACTAAACTTTGAAAACTCAGATTTCATCCATCCTTTTAATGGTTGTTAACTTTTTTCATTAATCCAACTAAATCAGGGATATTTTTAAACATGTTTTATGTTAAGTCCATTACAAGAGGTTAAATAAAAGATATTTTAATCATCATAGAGAAATGTTTAAAATAAATAAAATATCCTTGATTTAATTAGATGTAATAAAAAAGAGTTTATGACCGTTACCAGAAGGGACCTAAACCACTAACTAAAACATAAAATATTAAATATTAAATAAATTATAATTAATTATTAATTATTAATTATATTAATCAAAAAATAAATTAATAGATAACAATATCTAATTTATAGGTAATTCTTATCTGATGATTTATAAAAAGATTATTTAACAATTTTATCAGTCATATTTAGAAAATAATTTAACAAATAAATATTATATAATTTATAATTAGATATCATTCAATAATTTAGAATTACATATTTATTTAATAATTATGAATTAAAGATTTATTTAATAATTTATAATTAAATACTATTTAATAATTTAGAACCATCCACCATCTTTGACTGCTATGAGAACCACTATAAATTGAATAACATCATGCAAACGAAATTCAGTAGCAGGAAACAGATATGGAATCCACAATAATCTTCATCCTTCTCTCCATCTCCACATGCTTCTTCTATTTTCTTAATTCCCTATCTCGCCGTCGGAAGTCGGGTGTAATCACCCGACTGCCRCCCGGCCCATATCCGTTTCCGATCATCGGAAACATCTTAAAACTCGGAAACAAACCGCACCACTCCCTTGCCGCCCTCTCCAAAACCTACGGACCTTTAATGTCCCTTAAACTCGGCACCACCACCACAATCGTCGTTTCCTCTCGCGAAATCGCGCAAGAATTCTTTTTGAAACACGACGTTTCTTTCTCATCGAGATCGATACCGCACGTTGTTAACACACACGACCATGATAAACTCTCCATGGCTTGGTTGCCGGTTGGTGATCAATGGCGCAAGCTTCGMAGAATATCTAAGGAACATTTGTTTGTGGTACGCCAACTCGATGCTAGCCATCTGCTACGAAAAGAAAAGGTTCAACAACTTGTTGATCATGTTCAGGGTTACTGTGATAACGGGAAACCGGTGAATATCGGTCAAACTGCAGCCACAACGACTCTTAATGTTCTGTCCAACTTCATCTTCTCTATTGATTTAGCTCAGTATGATTCTCGTTCTTCTCAAGATTTTAAGGATCTCGTATGGTCTTTAATGGAAGTTGGTGGAAAACCAAATATAGCCGATTTCTTTCCTGTTCTTCGTTGGTTGGATCCACAGGGATTGCTGCGAAAATCTAATCTTTATACTGGGAAGATATTGGCGATATTCGAAGAATATATCAATAAACGGTTGGAAGAAAGAAGTTCAGGTTCATCTGATGCTTCATCAAGCAAAGATCTTCTGGATTTGCTGTTAGATATGAGCGAAAACGAGCAATCATTGATCAGCATCGACGACATTCGACACTTGTTGTTTGTAAGTAATCTTTATTGAGCTTGGGTTCTACGAAAACTTCAAGTGTTACATTATGGCTTCACGTAAATTGGTGGGCAGGACTTATTTATTGCAGGAACCGAGACAACATCGAGCACATTGGAATGGGCAATGGCGGAGCTAATCCACAATCCCGAGCAAATGTCGAAAGCCCGATCAGAGCTAGAGGAAGTAATCGGAAAGGAAGACCGGACCTTTCAAGAATCCGACATCTCGAGGCTCCCATACTTGCATGCCATAGTGAAAGAGACTCTCCGGCTGCACCCTCCGGTGACTTTTCTACTCCCTCATAAAGCCACAAAGGATGTGGAGATCCAAGGCTACATCATCCCAAAAGACACTCAGATCCTTTGTAACTTGTGGGGTATGGGTCAAGACTCGAACACATGGTCGGATGCACAACGGTTCAAGCCACAGCGATTTCTTGATGTGGGAATCGACTACAAGGGTCGTGACTTGGAACTGATACCGTTTGGTACGGGGAGGAGGATTTGTCCAGGATTGCCTCTTGCGCATAGAATGCTGCATTTGATGTTGGGATCTTTGATTTATAAGTTTGATTGGAAGATTGAAGAAGGGATGGTGATGGATATGAGTGATAAGTTTGGGATGACATTGCAAAAGAATTTGCCTCTCATGGCCATCCCGGTCAAACTTTGACTTTTACAAATAACAATAATGATAATAATAAAAAGTTGAGTGTTGTTTTTTTTGAAAAATAACACGAAAAGGGTCTAAGATCGGGACGTTTGTAGTACGACTAAATGTGCCACTTTCTTTATTGTAATAATTGTAGTACAAGATGGCAAAATCTAACAAAACAGAAGGAATTGAAGAAATCATGGAAACGATCAAATTGAGAAGATCTAATGTTTGGATTTAACGACTTTTTTTGTTTAAAATAGAAATACTGTTTCTTTTTTTTAATGGAAAATCGATGAAATAATGATCGAAACTAGAGCAAATTAAAAGTTCATTTTTTATTCTTTCTTAAATTTAACATCCATATTAATATATCTTTTTCTCATGTTCTTTGCTTCTTTGTTTTCAAAGTTCTCTCTAGATCTCATCCCAAATTATATATATATATATATATATATATATATATGTATATGTATATATGTATATATATATATATATGTACATATATATGTGTATATATATATATATATGTATATATATGTATATGGTTGGGTTCACGTGACACCAAAGGTTTTTTATGAAACCCGTAAGACTAATTTATATTCATTGATCAACTTTATAAGTTAATGATCTAATGGTCTAAAGTTGTACGGTGGAAATTTTGTGATTATTGAGAAGTTTCRTGACAATTTTGTGATTACGAATGGTAAGATTGCAGATCTAATCCAAGAATTGAGAATTAGTCTTACGAAAAACCCTTGGTTTCACATGATCCCAAGTATATATATATATATATATATATATGTATGTATGTATGTATGTATGTATGCATGTATGTATGTATGTATGTAAACCGCAATATATAATATGGCTATATGATCAAAATAGTCAATAAACTCTTTTTGTATTTTTAGGGGTGTTCGCAGTCTGGTTTAGGCGGTTTAACCCCTCAGACCACAAACCATACCGTAATGGTGGTTTATAAAATTTTTAAACCGAGCAATTCGACATCAAGTGCCCAAACCGGTTAAACCAGACCACGAAAAGGCAGTCTGGTCTGACCGGTTTAGGCAGTTTGAGACTTTAATGGACTTTAAATATTAACCTTAAAAAACATATATAATTTAAAATTTTAGATTAAATATCTATTTTAACAAAACAAAATATCTAAACAAATAAATGTAATAATTAAACAGCTCTTGAATACAAAGTCGAAGCAATCCAAATAAATAAATATATAATACATATTAGAAAACAAACAAATTAACAAAGTTACGACTCCATTGTGAGTATTGAGTAACAAATCCACGACTTCACAACCTTCAATAGTTTAATTCTTGAGTCTTGAGTTCTTGACCAAACAAAATAGAAGTCAAATCTAAGTTGGTTGAATCACTTGKTTGATGTCTTGATGATGTGCGCCGAAATCAAACCATGGATTAGAAAGATCGATAGATTGATAGAGTTCTTGAGGGATTTCAAAATTTGGAGACCGTCAATATCATATGTTTAATGGTTTTATGGTTTTAGGCCCATAAAAGGTTCCGGACCGGACCGCCAAACTGCCCAAACTGTCAAAAATGGTCTGGTTTGACTTGGTTCGGCCAGTTTGAGCGGTCCAACGGTTTTTTTGAACACCCTTAGTATTTTTTTTTTTTGTCAAGAATCATTTATTACTATTTGTTGGAAATTAACGTTCTTTCAAAAAAAAATTATTTCCATGAATGAGAATGAATTATTATTATTTTATATAAAAAAATTCTAAAAATGTATTGAGATGGTAAATTTAAAGAATACTTTAATAATATATTGATTGTTAAAATCTCTAAAATAGAAAATATTTTAGAGTTAACTGTAATTTTATTCTAAAAAATTATAAAAAAATCTGTTGAAGATGATCACATTAAATAATCTATCACCAACCTAACAGACGTTAATTAGAACTCTCTTGAATTGGTCCAATTGTTCGCATAACTCTTCGACCATTGATTTTTCTAGAGTAAACTAGGTTTTCGTCTATGTACTTTGTCAAAAGTTTCTAATTTCATCCCTCTAATGTAAAAGTTACGTTGATAATCGTATTTTATTTTGTTTCTCTTCCCGTTTATTTTTCTGGGGTATTTTTTTTGAAGTATATAATATWTATATATGGCAAATGCAACAAATAAACTCACACATCCTCCTCACCTATGGAGAGGTTTGAACCTCTGACCTCCTAGAAGGCCAAGGGCTACGATACCACTAGGCCAAATGCTATAAATATGACTCATACATCACCAAAAATTATAAATATGATTCTTATAAAGATGGTCATATAAGARCATCTCCAACAAATTCTGTAAAATAGAGAATCAAAAACGAAAGTATCTAAAAAAATTATGTTCATTTTTAATGGTTTTTTCATTCTGGAGATTATAATATAGAATACCTTTCATAAAATCTTATTTCTGTCTACTGTATGTTTAATTTTAAAGATTCTCAATTTCTCATTGGTACAAAAAAATAAAATATAATATCTCTTTCATAAGTAATCATTTTTGGAAAGTTCTTCAAATTTGGAGAATTTCACATCTCTTACTTTATCCATTTTAGAGAAGTTTTTAAGAAATCTATTTGAGTATGATCACGTGTATACAATAACTTTATAGTATTTATATTAGTATGATATTTATCATTAATATTAATTTTCACCATAATATTAATCATGGATATACTACAATTTCAATTCTACATACTTTAGTTTTTCTTTATTTTTCTTCATTGGGTTCTCAATTGATTTGGATGAYTTTYTGATTCGTCTCGATAGATTTCCCGATCAATCGCGATAAAGGTTAAAAGTGGTATGTTATGGTTTTACACATACAAACACGCACCATGTCAATKGATGGGTTCTTGATTAGTCTCGATCGGTCCCAATCGGTTCCTATTTGAATGAGAAAAGAGGGTACTCATTCTTCTCCCTCTGGTCGAGTAGCTTCACTCTTATTCGATCAATCTTGATGTGTTCTTGATTGGTCTCGACGGGTTTCCAATCCTTCACGATAAAAGATGAAAATGATAGTTTATGGTTTTACACACGAGTAAATAATAAATCAATTCATAGGTTCTCGATGAAAATTTAAGGTGGTAAGTTATAGTTTAACCCATATAAACACATACCAAGTCAATGAATGGATTATCGACCATTCTCGATTGGTCTTGATGGGTTMTCGATCAGTCTAAATGGGTGTTGGGTTATGGTGATGAAGAACGTGGTGCCTTACCACGTTAGATAAAGTGTCAAAGAAGGTGATCTCGAGTTACGGACTTACGATTCGAGCTGTTGTACTCACGCGAAAATATTCATAATGAATATAACACACACACACACGTGTGCGCGCATATATATATATATATATATATATATATATAATTTCACATAAAAAACTGTTAAAATGAAGAAAAAAACTATATCGAGTATATGTCATATTGAAGCGTATGAAATTCTCGTTTTCTTGATGTAATTTTTTTGATCAAACTATTAGTAATTTTTAAGATAATTTATTTTAAGCCTTTAAAGAGGTAAATTTGTTGAATTAAAAAAGGAAATAAAAGGTCAAAAAAGGTAGGCATGAATTGAAATTAAATGCATTTGTTACCCTGATCACCTTAATTAATAATTTTAATTAAAAATTATATTTAATGTGAATTGTTGGATCAAATAAAATAGAAGGCCGAGATCAGTCTTCACGTTTACAATGAAAATTGAGTTTGTAAGTGAACTTTCCCTATACACATATATACATATATGTGTGTGTGCATGTGTGTACCTCTATAATATATATATTTTTGAAAAGAAATACATTATATATTAAAATTAAACTTAAAAATATAATAATTAATTAATTTAATTAACTTAATATAACTTTTTTTAGACTTAAGGGACGTTTACCAAACACTTACTCGGTAAGCGCTTACCAGTAAAATTTAACACTATCATTTACTTACTGGGTAAGACTTTATCATGGTAAGAGTCGTCGCCCTTACTTACTAGGTAAGACTCTCGGTCCTTGTCTCCCTCTTATCGGGTAAGATTTTTGGTACTTACAATATTCATCCGATAAGGTAATGTGACTTGATAAGCGCTTACCAGGGTAAGCGTTTGGTAAACGACCCTTTAACTACGAATTTTGGTCTCTATAGTTTCTATGGTTTTTATGAAATTAGTCCTTTGAAAACAGATTTTAAAAAAAGAACGAAAATGCCCTCAAAATTAACAGAAGAATTGGATGGTCGTTAGAGTGAGATGCCAACTCGTTACAAAACAATATACCACAAATACTCTTGTATAATAAATGAAGTTTAGAGATCAATTTTATGAAAACTACCAAACCAACAAGACCAAATCCGTCATTAACTCTAATAATTACTCCATTAAATCAATCACGTCGATTTTATCCTATAAATTTAACTATAACTTTAGATCCTTTGACTTGGAATATAATTTATGAGCCCAAATAAATGTGACTAAATTGGTCGAGTTACACATTCTGAAGTATAAATGGCCAAAAATTAATCCTGGGTCGGGTCGGGACAGGTCTAAATCAAGCTCGGTCCCAAAATAGTGATTCTGTAATTGGTCCCAGCATAATCAGTCCTAATCCTAACCCAAATAAGAAATCCCGGTTAAGGTGTAAGGTGTATGAGGCTCGTGTTATGAGAACCAGACCCGATCCTAGGCCGGGTCCAAACTGGTCCTATATAAAAGAAATTAATTTTTATTTCTTACGTAGTTCTTTTTTGAAGTTTAAAAAAAATACAAAATTGTTGTTCTAATACACTTGAAAATATGTGATTGTGTTAATTAAATACACTAAAAAAATACGGTTTTTTTTTTGCCAGAATTGTGAATGTTTATGAGTTGGTATCTTCTTTCATACACCATATGACTTATATTAATGAATAGAAGGTAAACAAGACAATTAAATACATTTTATTATAATTTTGTAATTGACTTTCAATCAAATACATTTAGAAAGTTAAAAACACATTTAAAAATACATTTTTTTTAAAATAGCAAGTCCTGAACCGGTACCAATTCCCGGTCTTCCATCAGTAGTAGAGATGGCCAAAAACCGGTCCCGGGCCGGTCCCAATCGGTCCTTACATTTCTCATAACCGGCCATAACCGGTCCCGGCGTAACCGGTCCCGGTCTCGGTCCCGGTCGAAAATAATAGGACCGGTATAGGTACTCTATAACCGGTTATGGGCCGCTGGTCCCGGTCCCGGTCCCGGTCCCAACCGGTCCTTCATTAAAAAAATAAGATTTTTTTTTTTGATTTTTTAATGATATATATTTTTAATACATTATAAAATTTACAATTGGGTCACTCAAATACACTTTAAAAATGCGTTTTAATATAATTAAAATTACGTTTTCTTATAAAAATACATTATAAAATTATTTAAAAATATATTTATTTATAATATTATTTGAATTTTCGGGCCGGGCCGGGCCGGTCCATAGTCGGTCCCATAACCGGTCCCGGTCCCGGTCGGTCCCGGTCCCACGAAACTACCAAAAACCTTAACCGGTCCCGGTTTTCGGTCCCATAACCGGTCCTTACCGGTCCCGGTCCCGGGTCGATCCTTTGTCGGTCCCGGTCCCGGTCCTCCGGCGGTCCCGGGTCGGGCCGGGCCCATTTGGCCATCTCTAATCGGTAGTACTGAACGAGACCAAACCCATTTGGCCATCTTTATAATCTGAATTACGTCTCTTCCGTAGCCCATTAACTAATAAACCCTTTCTTAGTCTTAAAATTTAGAAAAAAACAATTTAATTATATTTATAGACAATTTTGATTCGAGCACATGGAAGTACCGCCTTCAAACTTCATCAATGTGAGGGTATCTTGGACCATTTTTAATTTTTTTTAAAGATATATAATTAATTTTTTTCCCTACAAACTTACATTTAATTTCAACATCTTTTTTATTTAAATATCACAACATGAATTATATATTATAAATATTTCACATATTTAGGGTCTGTTTGTTTTTTCAAAATTACCTCTTAATACCTCTGAAGTCTGATTCGTTAAGATGTTTGGATATTAAGAGCGTTTGTTTTATTTCTAAAATAAGAGCTTAAAAGCTCTAAATGTCCTCTGAAATTTTAAGTGGTAAATGTATCTCTTAATCCTAATCCGTCATCTATCAAACGGTTCTTATTTTGGGGGCTGAAAGAGATTTGTTAGCAAAAACTATTTATCTTTTATATTTTTGACCGATTCAGATTTCAGACTTTAGATGTAAAAACAAACACTTTTACTGATCCAGATTTCAGACTTCAAAACCACCTCTTATAAATCAGAAGTGAAATCAGACTTCAACATCTCTTAGAAAACAAACGTCACCTTAATAAAATATTATTATTTTAAAATATCTTATTGGTATGAGCAAAATATATATTTCTCTTTCATTGTAATCATTTTAAAGCATTTTCAATGGATTCTCCAAAATGGATAATGAAACTTCAAAATCTCTAAACAAGAAATATATTTAACTTCAAGATTTTAAATTTCAGAGATTACAATATTAATTATATCATAAAAATATTAAAATATTTCTTTCATCTACTAAAATGTAATTTCTCTCTACATATTCATTTTCAATTTTCTATTGTTGGAAATATGTTAAATAATATTTCTCTCTTATTATAATCATTTTTGAGATGTTCTCCAAATTTTGAGATTTTCACTCTCTCTCGTACTTTCTCCATTTTAGAGAAACTTGTGGAGCAGAAAACATACCCAAAATCCCAAAATCTATATTTTTTTAAGACCGTTTTGAGGAATTTTTTTGGAGATGCTCTTATAGTGGAGTTTTCTAAATTTTGAAGAGTTTCATATTCTCTCTCCTACTTTTTTCCATTTTAAAAAAAGATTTTGAAGAATATTCTAAAGTAAAATATCCATTATAGATGCTGTAATAAATTCTAGCTCAAAATGAAAGGACTCCAACTAACTAATGGTTTGAAATCGGCATTTGAAGATGGTGATGGATATACATTTCGTGTTTTCGTCCAACTCAAAGAGGTTGACTCCGAACAATGATTAGCTTTGTAAGGAGCCGTTTACCCAACGCTTTCCTGGTTAGCGTTTATCGGTAAGAGTCAACACTTTAACTTCATTTATCGGATAATAATTTAGTTCACTAAAACGACATCTTATGCATTTATCTGGTAGGCGCTTACCACTATTGAATACTAATCGAATACGACAACCCCTCATAGATTGTCAAATGGACAAATTAGTCATTTCTTTCACGTATTTCATCAAACACTTTCCGGGCCTTCAACCAAATTTTCGAATTGTGGTCTCGATTACAATGCCTTCATAGTTGCATCGGTTATTGAAATCTTTTATGAATACATGACAAAATGAATAAACGATTCGATGTCATTTTATCATATGATTAAAAGATTCAGTTTTGAGCCTCTAACATCTTACGTATAACTTCCGTTGAAGTACGAGTATGTCATCGAAGTAGTTTCACAACATGAAGACGAAGAAATAACAAATTAATTCCAACATGAAACTAGCTTTCGCCCTACTTCCCACTTCCCTCTCGATAGAGGGCAGTTGATCGCTTGCTTGCTTTGCTTCCTAACGTAAGGATCCTTGTCTTTAACGAGTCATTTTAACTCTCTCCAACGACTGTGCTGCTAGCAACGATTATAATATTAATCATTTACTGATAATTTATATCACATAATTTCAGTAAAATTTAAAATAAATAATATAATTTATATGATTATGACAATATAAACATACGACAATAGGAGGGAACAGGACATGATATCATTTTTTTTTGCGTATACTGTATACCAACTAAATACACAAACTTCGGACCAACCATCTTTTCTTCATACCAACTTTTTTTGATTTATATGGTTTCTGATTTTGTACGAACAATAGAATTATAAGAAGCAGAAACCTAAGGGCCGTCTACTAAACATTTACCCATTATGTATTTACCGGATCATTTATCTCATCGGAAGAATTTGGCAAGGATCGAGAATATTAACCAGTATTAGATCAACCAACTTGAATTGATACTTGTAGGGATCGTTTACTAAACGCTTACCCGGTAAGTAGTTATCGGGTAATTTTCCTCACCGAATAAACATAACAAGGATCAAGAATCTTACCCTGTAAGATCGATGATAAAGATGAAGAGTATTACCCGATAGGTGAAAGTGAAGACTTTTACATACATGTTGTCTTGTTTAATTTGATAAAAGAAATGTGTTAATTTAGGTATTTACTATAAGTTCAACGCTTTACCATATTCATTGAAAATATAAATAGAAGGGGTGGACGAGAATCTTCTTACAAATCCCTAATTTAACATATTGAAAAAAGTGAACAAATTGAAGATCGGATCTTTAGTTTCGTTTCCAATCACCGACCACCGCTAGTTTTCAGCTCCATCCAATGGCTCCGGCGGTGCATTTAACATTAATTGCACTGTTCATCACAGGCGCCGCAGCATACACCAATCACACTGTTGGCGGCAACGCCGGTTGGCTTTTCGATCCGAATACCAACACCTCCTCCGCAAATTACGCCTCTTGGGCAGCTAATCAAACCTTCGATCTCGGCGACTACTTAAGTAAGTGTGGTTTACAATCGGTGAAAATTGCTGTTGATTTTGATTAATTTGATTGTTCATCTGGTTTTGGTTGTGATTTGTGTGTAGTATTCAGGACGAACACGAATCAGACGGTGGTTTTGACTTACAACGAGACGACGTTCCGAAGCTGTAGCATTGACAACTCCTCAGATAGTGATACGTTAATTTACGACAAAGGAAACGTTGAGTTCGGCCAGCCGTTGACCGTCGAGGTTCCGTTGACGTTAGAGGGAGCCAACTACTTTTTCTCCAGTGCCAGTGACGGCATTCAGTGTGAGAACGGGCTGGCCTTTGGGATCAACGTGAGTCACGGCGTCGGACTTCCTCCGAGCCTCAACCAGCCTCCGCCGCCTGCCTATGTTGAGCCTCCGTCTAACGCTGATGGAAGCCTTACGCCGCCGATGACCATACAGCCAAGTGGCGCTGGATTACGCGTTGATGATAACGTGCGCAGGGCGGTATATTATGCACTCACGTTCTTTGCCTTTTTTCAAGTGTGAAACAGAAGAGGGGTAGGTAGATGTCGTGGTTTTTGTAATTTTCGGGGGCAAATTCGGAATCCCAAATGTTTTGTTTTGATGTGATACAATTGGAAAGTAAGTGGTGGGGTTAAATTACAATTCTTTAAACTTATGGGTTCAAAATGTAATTTGAACTGAAAACTTTTGATTTTTACTGGATTAATCCTGGATGATGTCATTTTTATTTGTAATATTTCGGATTACTCTTTCTTTATCGTTATCTCCACGTAGCATAATTAGTATCTTGTGAGAATATGAGAAACCAATACTAAACCTGGATTATGAGCATAATGAAGTGAATGCGGATGATATCGATTCTCAAAAACAGACATCGAAGTCCAAGAAGAATATTGATTCACAAGAGGAGGATTCGTCTCTATTGACGGTTAAGAAGATGAAAGATCTGTGTGTTATRATAACCGGGTTATCGATTATAAAAGTTCGAAATTGTTTTCAAATAATGATGATAAGTTGGGGGTTTATTTGGTTAATGTGCTTAAATTGTTTTTAAGCACACCGCCACATTATTTAATTGTTTGATTAATTGAGATATTCTTATATCTCATTGGGGTTGTRAAAAATAAGAGAAAAAGAAAAACCTAGTTTTTGTGTGTGTTTGGAGTCGAGGAAACAAAAGCCGAAAGGAAGAAAGAAGTTGATTATGTGATTATTATTTGAATAATTGTTGTGGTTCATCTGCATCATCTCTGTGAACATAAGGTGGGTTTTATTTTTGAGAAACRTCATTTATTATCTGTTTTGGTGAAATAACCGTAAGGTTTCATAAGTGAATACGTGGTGATTATATGCTATCTATTAGCAAWTTTTTTGGGTTTTGATATGATTCTATCATCTGTTTGTAATAAAGATGACATAATCATGAGATGAGTATATTTTGTAATAAGKGTAACATRATCAGAAGATTGGTAGATTTTGTAATAAGAGTGGCATACTTAAAAGATAGATAGATAGATTTTGTAATAAATATGACATAATCAGGACATGGGTAGATTTTGCAATAAGGGTGACATAATCAGGATATAGGTGTACTAGGATAAGAATGACATAATCAAATTCTKGAAAAATGATGATCTTTTGATCATGAGATTCTGTTATCGCATCTATATGATGCAATGRGATTGATTTTATCGCATAGGTGTGATACGATGAAATTGGGATAAAATTGAAGTGTTGGTTATCACATTCTTGTGATGCGACATGTTGAGTTTATCGCATCTATATGGTGCGACAAGTTACTGTTATTGCATCTTGTGCGATAAGGTGTGTTTATCGCATTTGTTGGATGCGACAAGTTGGGATGATCAAGGATGCGACAAAGGAAGTTGTCGCATATAAGTGATGCAATAAATTTGGGTTATCGCATCAATGAGGTGCAATAAGATTGATGTATTTTTATAATTTATGTGATAACTTGATTACTTATTTGTTTATTTGTGACAAGTTTAATATCACAATGGCTTTGATGCGATAAGATGAGGTTGTCTCATCATATGATGTGACAAAAAGAGGTTTGTTCGATAAAACAGTGTTTATTTGTTATTTATACAAATATGAGTTTTATAAAAGTGTTTTGGTGATTTTCACCTTGTAATAGCACTCAAAGAAAATTCTCACTAGACCTTATGATCTAACCCTCATTTTGGTGTTTTAAAATGTACATTATAGACCAAAGGCACAATGTGGATGAAAAGGGGAAGGGAAAGGGAAAGCATGAAAGTTTTATGATTGTTTGCATGTGGATTGTTGGGATGATTGATGTTTTRTACCTGAATACTTGTTATATATACAAGTCTTTTACTGAGACTATGTGGAAAAATTTGGTAGCTACTTTTGTAATGTAACTTTTGTATATTTTGGAATCGAATGTGTAAATTTGTATTTCATGATATATGAAATATATTGTTATATGCAAATGTGATTTTGGGTTGTTACAAGTTTGGTATCAGAGAYTGAATTTAAGAGATTTAGGTATTCAGCATGATGCCTACACTTAAACTGTATTATTTGCATATTAAGGGTCCCTGACATATCTAGAACCTTTGAAATAAATATGATGRGTTAAAAARATGATATGTAAAGTMAATTCAAATTACAACTGACCAATATAATCATGAATTTAAGGGTACATATTTGTGYTTGGATACCTTATTATATTTGGGGAATATGATTATGTAAATATTAAATTTTGTAAATTGACATATGGCAAGTCAATCTAGAAGTTCTGAAAGGATCGCCCTCATAAACCCAGATGAGAGAGAAAGTTCACTTAAAAACACTTATAAAAATCTACTAATGGGTCGGGGTAGAGGAAGAGGCCGAGGCAGGGACAGAGGAAGGGACGCGGAAGAGGAAGAAGTAGTCATCCAGATCAAGGTGGATCTATTCAAGAGAATGTTAATGAAGAACCAATTCAACATCCTGAGTATGTTACTCGGGATATATTAGCTGAAGAAATGAGCAAATTGAGAAATACCTTGATTTCTATTCTGGGAGTACCTGCTAGAGTGGAAACAGAGTGAGTAGAGATTAACCCGCAAGTCCAATTTGCAAATACAGGAGAGGGTGATATCAAGATATTTTTGACGTGTAAACCCCCAACTTTTTCTGGAGAAAGAGATCYCGTARAAGCAATGTGCTGGCTGAAAGAAATRRAATAAGTTTTCGATACAAGTGTTCTAATGAAGATAGTGTTCTAGACGTGCATYTGTAGAACAAGAACATCCCATGACTGAACCAAGCAACAGTCACCAAGATCAATCATGTTTCCAGAGACTGGGATCGATTTAGGTATAGGTTTAACGATTGAGAGTGAGCGATTGAGAGAGAYGTGCTGGGATATATCGATTGAGACACAACAACTACAATCGATTATGTTTCCAAAGGGATTGGGGTGAATTTAGATCTGGGTTTACCGATCGAGGGTGAACAATTGAGAGGTCGATTGAAGTACTTGAGCGATTGAGAGACCGATTGAGGTAGTTGAGCGATCGAGAGACCGATTGATGTGGAGTTGCTTGAGGATATCGACTGTGAGGTAAATAATCGGATAAGAGGTAATAAGTGGTTAGGTTATCACTTAACTTTTAAGAGGATAATAAGAGATAAGAGACTCTTAAAAGAATGAAAAAACAAAYAGTCTGAAACATAAGTGGTTAATCCTCTCCTTAAGATTCTTCTGAAGACGTCGATCAACTTGCATGTTCTTTTAAGTAAAATATAAATCTTTCAACAAAAGTATTTCTATAACTTTGTCTTGTTTTCCAACTTTGTCCCCCCCCCTAGCGATACACTTATTGGGTTGATACCATCTGTAATATCTCAAATCAACAAACTGTACCAGATATCTGCTTTGCCCACACACCTTGATTTACGATTTTAAAATACGAAAAGCTATCTGGTTTTTTTGTAAGGCAATCTTAGTTCTTCTTCCCAACCAACATCATATATTACACTATATGTGTCAACGAGTGTTRGTGGGGCACGTGTGCACTAGTTGCATCCTCTTGTATTGGTATTTGAGAAACTATTCTTTGCTATCAATAAGTTATTTAAATGTTTTAAATAGTTATATTTGATGATGTTGAATTATGAAAGTCGACAAATTGGAAGCTTATATAACGATCTTTAAAATGTACAAAAAAGGATAATATCTCTAAGGTTTTTTTTTGATATTAAATAAACAACTACATACAGAGATTTCATGTTCTAAACTGATGTGTAAACATTATCAAGTTTTAAGAGATTATCATTCTGTAATTTATCTGAGAAAAATTAAAATATTACTAATAACTTTTCATAAAAGTTTTACAAAAAGAATGTCTTAAGAAAAAAAGTTTGTTTTTATATTATAATAAAAAATGTGAAAGTGCTACATTATTGCAATATCAGAATGATTAGTTTCTAAAGTTTGATTAAAAAAATTGATTAGATATTTGTTTAAAGAAAAGTTATTTAAAAAAAAAATTGGATTTCATTAGTTTGGACGTTTAGAATGTTATTTTTATTGAAAAAGTGGATAATATAGAAATAGGGGATGGTCTGATAAAAAACTGTCAAATAAAATACGTCCCAAATCGAAATATCATAAGCACCGTCTACCCGGTGATAAATGAAGCATCCGGGCCCCTTTTGATCTCTCAGAAATTTTATGCAAAGGTTTCCTCGGGCCGGACGGAAACTGGCCCTCGAGTGCAAAGGAAGAGGCACCATGTTGGTTTGTTATGCAAAGGTTTCCTCGTCCCAAATTGAAACTCACACTTGATTCATGTTGGTTTGTTATTTCTTTTACACTATTGAATCATTTTGTATTGATTAGTGTGTCGTTCCATACTAATTTAACCATGTCATGCACAACAGAAGTCCATATGAAATTTTACACATGACTTGGAGCTTTTGTTCATATTAGTGGTCTCACTACTCGCTTGGACCTATGTACGTTGACCGGTCCATATGACGTCCTACCTGAGCCTGKAGTTTGTGTCACATAACCTATGTGAGTTTCTCGGTAAGCTCAGTACTCACCAATGCTTTACTTATGAGACCTCTTATATATGACCCCTAACTCACATTTGACCGATATGTATAGAACACCATTTTTGGCCGATTAACATCAATCCAAAAGTCGTTCTTTTTGTATTATTTTACTTATAAATATACTTGTCTAYTTTTTCGTACACTTAAATAATGTATCGTACCTAAACTCACTGATCGCATGCAATAAAATCATTGTGTTCTTACCTATTTCATGGCTGCAGGGCCTCATGCTTGTCGCATTTCGAGGGTTAACTACTCCATGTTACTAAATGGGYGTAAAAGAACATGAACTTGACATGCTAAAAAAGACCCTACCTGATGCAATTTTACTTGAATTCCMTTCGACACTTCCTAACATGCCCTACATAATCACAAGATATTATTCGAACTCTAAAATACCCCACATGTTTAATCGGTCCAAGGCCTCAAAACATAGTTTCTTTGTGGGGGTTGGGGCTAGAACACGTACTACTCGAAATAGGATCCTTGCTAAAAATGTACAACAAAAAWTAAAAGATCTACGGAGTATTCTTAATAAGGAAAGGATTTTTTTCATTCTTTTGTGCAAAAAAATGAACATGCATTTTAATTCCATTGATTCCGTAGGTTCTTAATTTTGTTTGATTAATGGACTTATCTATACTATATTATAAAGCAT